AAAAAAAAAAGGAAAACAAAAACGAGAACGATTGGGGGAGGCAGTTTCTTTAGGAAGAGAAGAAGTCTTTTTTCCGAGTCTACCTCTGTCGCCCAGGCTGGAGTGCAGTGTCACGCTCACGGCCACCGCAGCCTCAACCTGCTGGACTGAGGGATCCTTCCACCTCAGCCTTCCAAGCAGCTGGGATTACAGGTTTGGGACCCTGCGCCCAGCCCATAAAGCCACTTTAGAAACAAGGTAAGAGGGAGGCCCAGTGGCTTACGCCGGTAGACCAAGCACGACGGGAGGCCTGACCCTGCAGCTAGGCATCTCCAGTTACTTGCAAACGACACTGAGATACAAGACCCAGGCTGAAACAGGGAAAACCTGATATAGCACAAAGAGAGCCTCAAAGAAACGATGTGGCCACTGCCCCCGGAGACCACTGGGAACAGCAGACAAGCATACCACCTTTAATAAGCAAATCCTAATCTTCAGCACAATTTAGTTAACCCCGGAGGGATACGCCGTTCGTAGAAGTACTGTAACAACCAGGCCGATGCATGGAGTGGACAAACCCAGCCCCAAAACCCTCGTTTAATATGTTGTTCTTGGAGAAAGAACGTATCAGATACTAAACTAAGAAGAACACACACTGCTTTTAGATCTCAGTCAAAAGACTGAAAAGCGGTACCTGTGCCTGCCTCCTAGCGTGCCTTACTATTCCCATTCCTATTACATTTGTGGTCACTTCCTTGGTATCACGATCCAATTCTTCTCCCATGTCGTATATTTCCGAACGTCAACTGTCCACTATTCTTCCTTCGTGATCGTCGTTGGGTTTGGGGAAATAGACCTTAAACAGAGCGCTTTCCTGCATCTCCCGCCTGCCCTCTGCCCAGTCTGTTTTGCATAAACCCGCCCCTCCTCTAGTGAAAATGTAGGGGATTGCCGGCTCCGTGGCTCGGCCTGCAATGCCAGCACTTTGGGAGGCTGAGACGAGAGGATTGCGCGAGCCCAGGGGTTCGAGACCCACCCGGGCAACTTGGCAAGACCGCATCTCTGCAATAAACCAAAAAATGAGCCTGGCGTGGTAGCGCAGCCCTGGAGTTCCGGCTACTTGGAAGGCTGAGGCGGAAGGGTCACCTGAGCCCAGCAGGTCGAGGCTGCGGTGGCCATGAGCGTGCCACTCACTGCACTCCAGCCTGGGCGACAGAGGGAGACTCCAACTCAAAAAAAAAAAAAAAAAAACAAAAACAAAAAGGAAAAGAAAGAAGGAAAATAGAGGTGGTTTCTCTGTCAAAACGATTCTCACAGCTGAGATCCCCCCAGGCTAGAGTGGGGGATGTCACGTTCTCACTGATGATGATTTTAACTAGCAAAGTTTTCGATAATTTGTGGGGCTTTTTTGGTTTGTTTTGTCCCTGAGCTGAAATGAGCTAAATCAGTTAATAAAATCAAATTGCTAGCAAAATAATAATATTAACCAGCTTACTCCATTTTGTTTAAAACTTTCATCGTAATTACCTACCTGCCTGACCTAAGAATCAATGCCTACTGTGATTATAGTGATGTTCCCATGACCATAAACCCCCAGCTTTGTCTCCTTTGGGCAGGTCACACTGACCGTTTCCTGCTGACTGTTACAAAACTCCTTAGCCATAAGTTCCGTATGATTGTATGCTTTGTTACCTGAAATCAAATGGCACGCTTTGCAAAACCCCATTGTTACATTTTCATATTTTGTTCTTATATTCTGTTAGTGACCTAACCAAGGTAAATCCATTGTGTAATAATTCTTCTTCCTTGTCCCTATGTCACTACCTTAAACTATCT